CTATATATATATATATATATATATATATATATATATATATATATATATATATATATATATATATATATATTATATAATATAATATATATATATATATATGTATGTATGTATGTATATATCCAGGTACTACAATAACTTTGACCGTGGCAGCCCTTATTTGCGCGTTGCAGTCTGTCCTCTGACTGCAAAACTGGCCATGCAACACAGCTAAGTACTGCGGAGGCTGACACTGTTTTAGGGTTTTATGACACTGTTGGGTATATCCATGTGCTCATGTATATATTCAATACTGCTCATGATATTCATACTAGTCACATAAACCTCGATCCCCAGGCTTTACAAGACGTGGAAGACCACACTAGACACGCCTCCGTATCCATACACAACAGCCTTCTTCAAATCCACACCACACTCCCTCACGCCAGAACTGATGGCTTGGCAGAAACCAGTGGCATCTGTATTATATCCTTGCACAAAGTTTGGCTCGAGAGTAAGGGTACTGATGCGAGGCGTATAATCTGTCATCTCACCACATGCTAACATGCATGAGACGCCTTCTGGACTGCTGAAGATGTTTTTGAAAACGGCGCATGCGAGAGGCAATGTGGTATGGTATAAGGACGAGCACGTTCACAGATGAAACTGTGTAGCCACATGGGCAGTGAGACGTCTATTCTATCACAGTGAATAGAAGTAACATAGTAAATAAGTGTAATTTAGTCAGTAAGTGCAACAGAGTGAATAATTGTTACATTGTCAATAAGTGTAACATAGTGAATAAATGTAAGATGGTGAACAAGTGTAATATAGTGAATAAGTGTAACATAGTGACTAAATATAACAGTGGATAAGTGTAACATAGTGACTAAATATAACAGTGGATAAGTGTAACATAGTGAATAAGTGTAACATAGTGAATGAGTGTAACATAGTGAACAAGTGTAACATCGTGAACAAGTGTAACATAGTGAATAAGTGTAACATAGTGAATGAGTATAACAGAGTGAATAATTGTAACATAGTGAATAAGTGTAACATCGTGAACAAGTGTAACATAGTGAGTAAGTGTAACATCTTAAGTGTAACATAGTGACTAAATGTAACAGTGAATAAGTGTAACATTGTTAATATGTGTAACATAGTGAACAAGTGTAAAATCGTGAACTAGTGTTACATAGTGAATAAGTGTGACATAGTGAATGGGTGTAACAGAGTGAATAAGTGTAACATAGTGAATGAGTGTAACATAGTGGATAAGTAGAACATAGTGAATGAGTGTAACATAGTGAATTAAGTGTAACATTGTGAATAAGTGAAACATAGTGAACAAGTGTAACATAGTGAATAAGTGTAACATAGTGAATAAGTAAGTGTAACATTGTGAATAAGTGAAACATAGTGAACAAGTGTAACATAGTGAATAAATGTAACATAGTGAATAAGTGTAACATAGTGAATTAAGTGTAACATAGTGAATTAAGTGTAACATTGTGAATAAGTGTAACATTGTGAAAAAGTGTAACATAGTGAACAAGTGTAACATAGTCAATATGTCAAGCTGCTGAGTCTGCACGAGATTATGCGGTATCCGTTATAATGACTGCACTCTACGCCGATTAGCTATTACTGAGAGCTTCTTTGAGAAGTCATAACGACTCAGTAAACATGGTACTATTTGATACGAATCTCTGTAATCCCAGTAGCCGCGAACAAAATGCGAACGACCACTGCACAGACGCTTACAAAGCAACTACTGTGAAGGCATCGAAGAATGTCATAACCAGATTTGAGTTCCATAGTGTAGTATATATTGCTTATATAAGTAATATGGGTAAGTGTACTATTAGTAATACCTATAAGTAATATGTACCAGTTTACTATTAGTAATATGTATAAGTTTACTATTAATAATATTTTTAAGTTTACTATTAGTAATATGTATAAGTAATATGTATAAGTTTACTATTAGTAATATGTATAAGTAATATGTATAAGTTTACTATTAATAATACGTATAATTAATATGCACCAGTTTACTATTAGTATTATGTATAAGTTTACTATCAGTAATATTTTTTATGTTTACTATTAGTAATATGTATAGGTAATATGTATAAGTTTACTATTGGTAATATGTATAAGTAAAATGCATAAGTTTACTATTAGTAATATGTATAAGTTTACTATTAGTGATAAGTTTACTATTAGTAATATGTATAAGTAATATGGATAAGTTTACTATTCGTAATATGTACAAGTTTACTATTAGTAATATGTGTAAATTTACTATTAGTAATATGTACAAGTATTATAAGTGATATGTTGTCAAATACAAACTACTGCGGCCACATTCTGTTGCGCATGCATATATAAGAATCGGTACTCAATAGTAACACTTAATTCGTGGATATGCACTGCAGTTGTACATGTACTTGCCTACATACTACACGAAATGGACCATACCTGTACTATTGCGCACAATATTTGCAAGAGAATACAATTGTAAGCTGCTAAGAGTATGAGGATTTTGCATATATTTAAGTGCTAACATCTGTTATTTGTGTAAAGGCCATACCCTCACCTTAAAACAACCGCGGCACAACCAGAAATTTAACAATTAAACTCACTACACGATACGCATTCTTGATGCAAACAGTTCACATCGTATCAAACACATGATTAGACGAGAAACAAATTCATCAGTATATAGTCAAGATCCAGTCACTACACTGTACTGACCAAGATACAATGTACACAAAGCTTCACAGCAGTAGATGCCAACCTTTATTGTGCCGTCAGATCGGCGAACTATGGTGTTGACACTTTGAATTTATTGTGCCAATGGACCTATGTCATCCAAGCAGGCAATAATGCTGTGCTTAATATCTTTAGATATGCCCCCCCCCAATGCAATTCATACCCTTGAGCACGTTGGGAAAGTGCTGCGCATCGATCTTTCCGCTAGGGGACGATATGGGGATGTACGCTACATCCTTTTTGAGGATTTGCTGAAGTAAATAGTTGTACCTTCTGAGAGATTTAGGTCTCCCAGACGTGCTGATGAAGTACTGAGCGTTTGCGGTGATGGCCACGCTTGCGATGGTATCCTCTGACATGATGTGATAACGCCTGTGCGTGTTTCATTTAGAAGGCTATGTGTGCTATGACTACCCAGTCTCGACAGTCGACAGCTGGTTGTGGAGAGCTGTGGCCTATGCGTGCTACAGTCTCTCAGCCTCTCAAGTCTCAGGTGCAGCAGCCTTGACCTCTTGACAGCTCGTGATTGTCGGATATGTTTATGTAGAATTCCTCAATAAATTGGAAAAAGATGTTCGGGACCTCCTTTGTCTTGCCCTTTCCTATGCTTTGGTTTCCTATGATTAATATTATGAAATATTTATAGAAAGACAACATATTGTATTTATAATACCTTATTTATTTTTTAAATAAAACAAAAAACAAAATACAGTCAAACTTGGAATATTGTCCAGGGTCCGATTTCGGCCAAAAATTGGACAAAATTAGAGGTAGACAATAGTGTTCACATGGGGCCTGGGATCTTTTCAGGTTCATGTTGATTTGTACTGAGCCTGCAACATTAAAGTTGCTTGGATTGTTTTGATCGTATTCTCAAGACTTTAAGAGGTCAAAACGATCCTTCTGTTGTTCACTCGTGGTTTTGAACTCTTCATTGTCTTCATCACACTCATCGTGTATTTCCTTCTCAACTTCTAGCTCCTGCACCTCCCCATATGGTAGTATCGCTTCGATATTCGATAGTTGCATTTCGGTTGATTCATCAACTCATGTTATGGGCTCGTCGGGATTAAATATCATATAATATGACTTGAGCGTTGCTGTGAGATCAAGGATTTCGCTTTCTTCCCTAGATGTGATTCTCTTCGCATAATCGGGCGCATTATTTATCAGGTTGCCCTCCGGAAGACATGTTGATTTCAGCCAGCAATGGGCAATGCTTTTGGCTAGTTTCCCATATATCGTGTATGATACTAGCAGCATCTAAGAGGTTTGCAGATTGTCCGTCTACATCCTAAAATAGAGGTAAACAATAAGGAGGTAAACAATAATAGAATAGCTTTCTTTATTCTTGTTGAATTGTTTTTTTATTAATAGAAGGCTACGACGAAAACCAGAAGCCATTTCAAAATGGAGAAGAAAAATAACTGTGAACATAACTCCCCGCAGGGCGGAGTGAGCCGAGCTTGGTAGATTCATAATTTCGCGTTTTGAAATAAGAATATTTAGAATCCGGTCTGTGTTTGAAATTATTTGTTGTATATTACAGTACCGAACTATAAGATTCCACACAGTCAAAATTTGCTGGGTGTCAAAACTTGCTGGGCTTAGGGTTCCTATCACAAAATTTTTGTCAGGTCACAAAATTTGTGACATCGTGGGTCATTACCTATATCTGTTAACCAATAGTATCTGGACTCACTCAGTAAACCATAATTTCTATTGGTCCATTTATTTTCGATCTTTGACGGACCCTAGTACAAAGAGATAAGTTCCAACAAAAAATACAACGCATACACCCACCCTCAATCACAGCTCTTATGCTCTGCGGGGGGAAATAGGGCTCAGTAAATTGGGCAGTTGCAGCCGCAGCATTATATTACTGGGCCCCGTTATAATTGAATGTATTTTTAAATTTTTTTGAAATCCGTATTTTGCACCTTCTCGTAATCTATTTTCATAAAAATATTTTATAAAAGAAAAGGAATTTCGACGTAAATATTTATTTTTAAAAAGTAAATACAAGCACAACTTATTGTTGTTCGTTTAAAAAAAACCCCCCCCATATCAAAAGGATGATTGTTTGTATTCTGGCCCCCGTGTCCACCCCCCAGCAGAGTCTGTGAAAATGTAAGGCTGGTGCTTGCAATAATAAACATAATCAATGACCTGCGAGGCAGCGACCAAAAGTATTTTAAATTTTAAATTTTTGAATTTTACCAATTGGTAGTTGTATATATATCTTGTAAATAAAAATAGTCTTCATCCTTCTCAGTCCTCACGACTCACAGTCTCACGCAGTCAATCTTTTGTATTTCTATTTTTAAAATTTGGTGCATGCTCTAGAAAAAATGATACAAATATTCCTTCGTGACTACGTCTTCGAATTTTGACTTCCGAGTTCCGACTTCAGGAAGTTGTCCAGCCTGTGTTTCAGTCTTTCAGACTAACCTCAATAAGTTAGACGATTTGTGTATAAACGATGAACGTTTTACGTTTCCGGAATGATTTTTAAACGAACGATGCATATATTATGGCCTGAAAATAATTCGCAGTTTTGACTTGGTAAGTACACCTTGAATTTCGTTTTTGGCTACGAAACTTAGAAATTAGAAAGTGAGATCATATTTACCAACTGACGACTGCCATGACAGTTGACAATTGACAGATGACTCCATGGGACAGAATATAGCTGACCTGGAGAATGGCCCCATATCAGATTTCTGGACCCACTATACACTATAACGTTTAACGTTTAACATATACCTATTGAAAAATAAGCGTTCCAACGTTCAACGTGTTGAGGTTAGCTTTCAGACCGACTGCCAGTGCCAGTCGCCGCCAGTGTGTACACTCAGGCCAACACTGTACTGTGGTTGCAGACCCCAGGACCAAGGGCCAGGGCGGCAGGGCCCAAAGCCAAAGGGCCCACAGAGTAACATACGATACCCCACAAGAAGTCCACAACCAACCACCCCCCTGACTAAGTCCCTTACAGACTAACCTCCCCCCCCGCCCCTCAGTGCACTGAGAGCAGGGCCAGCACCCTACTGGGCACACTCTGGCATAATTATTATGCCTCCCTTCGTCATTGAAAGAGTCGAAGAGTCGGCGAATCGTCGAGTCGTCGACTCTTGTTCAAAGTCGATAAAATTATTTATAAAATTTTCAATCTCTCTATGGTTGATTGGTTGTTCACTAATAAATTCTAAACTCAGGTTCGTTCCATCCACTACTTCTTACTACCGCTAGCAGTACCGCATCCAACTCAGACATCAATCCAACTCAGGAGTTAGATCTCTGAGTATGTTTAAAAAAAACTATTCGTAAGAAAACATAATAAATAATAGCCGTCTAAACTGCTATTTTTGGGGCGTTTGTTAAAAAAAAAATCTCATTGAAATAATGGTTTTTAACCTTTTGTTTTGTAAAATTAAGGTTTTTTCCATAGCTTTTAGATTTTCATGAGGAACACGATGATATTCTAAACAGTGTATATATTTTCGTGTCGGGCCACAAGACGGAACAAGTCTCAAGTCTCAACTGCACACAACAAGCCCACAACAACACCAAGTTTCACAACTTTTCACAAGGCCGAGGGCAAGCACTTACATACGAGTTTTCTATAGAACCGAGTTACAATTTGTTGTTTTTTTCATGAACAATTGGTTGTTTTGTAAATATATTTTAAGAAAATTACTTCAGTCCTCACTCTTCAGGCTTCAGGCGTCAGGCTTCAGGGCCAGGCGCCTTCAGGACAGTTCAGGTCTGAAAGTACTTCCGTACGGTTTTAAATGCCAGAAAATTCTGGAGTATTCATTCGCTGGAATTATCATAATTTCTTGACCTAAAATTCCTCGTCTGTTAAAAATCTCTCTCTAGAGCGTTTCATTTTGAAATGCTTTGAAAAAACTTAGCCTCAGAGCCTCACAGGCTTACAGAGGTACCTCACAAAGAGCATCTGCTTTACCACTTTACCAAATGGGCTGTTTTCTGTGTTTTGGTATTTAGATTTTAGATATTATTTTAGTTTACTACTCTAATTTTTTATATTTTTAAACTAACATTCTATAACGGGCGTGTAATTCGCATGTAACTTAGGTCTCAGCCTCTCAGGGTGCGAGAAAAATAAAGTATCTATTGAATTCCCACAGGAATCCCTGACACTGCCCAGGAATCTCTGCTGAGACTGTGGACTGCGCCCTGCAGGCTGCAGGCTTCACTCTCGGGGCACTGCCTTTTTTTACATTAAAATAGGTAGACAGTTTTTGTCTATTTTGATTTTGATTTTCATATTGTATTTATAATTTTGCAATATAAATATTTATATCACCACAGACTCTCAGAGTCACAGACTACAGCGGACTTTATTTATTTATTTATTTTGAAGAAAAAAACAAAATTATAACATCGGTTTTGGTCCGTAGTACATGTATGAGTATAACTATGAATCTGCGGCCCATATGACGTGCATTTACTTTTTTACCAACTGCACTAATTACTGCAGTAGTAATTATAATTCTATATATATTCTGATATTCCATTTGAAGCGAGCATAGCGCTGTTCTCTCAAAAGTCATCTAAGTGTGTGTATAACATAATCAAACACTTACTATCATGACTACTGCTATTGCACCCGGGCGTCCTTTCTATAAATCTTCAGAATACATACCGCAGGCGAGGAAAGCAACTGATTTAACCGCCGCTTATCCTAGACAATACACTTCCGGATACCATTCATTGATCAAAGTATTGGAGGAAGGGTCTACATCGACGGTTTACCTTGGTGTTAATCCAAGTACAAATCAGAAAGTGGCCGTGAAGCGATTACTAGTTGATAAATTATCATATTCTGTTGCCTTTGGAGTGATGCAGCAGGAAATTCAAGCGCATCTAGCCCTTGCAGAGCATCCGCACAGCGCACGTTTGCTCTGTGTCGAATTACCTGGAAAGAGCGGCGGACCTCCGGCATTGGTATTTGAATTCTATGAACAGGGCGATCTACTTGGTTTCATACCGATCAACATTGGATTATCTGAGCACATTGGCCGGCGCGCGGTGAAGGGTATTGCGGAGATATTGAGTGACATGCATGAACGCTCGATGGTACATAGAGATATCAAAGCTGAGAATGTTTGTATAGGAAACGATGGATTAATGAAGTTAATAGACTTCGGGAGTACAATAACGTTGCAAGGTGGTGAGCACTTGATTTTGCCCCGAGACCTTACAGTGGGGACAGTGCCATACATGTCAGCAGAGTTATTGAGGGGTCGTGCGTTTCAGAATATGGATCTGATGGCTGTGGATGCATGGGCTTTGGGTGTTTTCTTATTCACAGTTTTGACGGGCCGATTTCCGTTTCAACAGGCAAGCCCTGCTTGCAAAGGGTTTGTCAGATATGCTGAGATCTGTGCAGGCGACAACAAAGAAGAGGAACTTGCACATCTTTGGCCCACGTTATCAGAGGACATGCTTTTAATCTGCATGGCCCTACTGGATTTAAATCCAGTATTGCGCATGACCGCAGGCGAAGCCTACGCGCTATTATAACTTATACTCTTTATTTTAAAACGCATACAGCGAGAATAGTCGGGCATCCTCTCTGCTAGTCATTTTCAAATATTTAGGAATTAGCGAACCCTCACCATCAGGAATCATACAAAGACTGGTCCAGTGATCCTCTGCCAAAGTCTCTGAGAAAAATCGAGCTATTAAATAAGAAAAATATTCATACATCCTATTTGGAATCAGAATTATTTTGGTGCAGATCAGCTTGCTACTGTTTACTTCCCCTTCTCGCTGGTGCAATACTCCATAAAGTTACGGAGGAATCATGACAGATATGGCAAACGACATCGAAAATTTCGAATGACAGCCACGACACATAGCGTACTACCTACCTATATATCTATCTATTTATCTCCCTATCTAGTTACCTGTCTATCTATCCATCTGTCTATCTATCTATTGATGTATGTATTTTCGAATCTATCTATCTATGTCTCTCCATATATAAAT